AAATTTTTATGGATTAGTATTTTGTTCTAATGCCTACGAATTTTGAATTTTTAAGTAAGGTGACGGCTGATGTTGCATTGGTTTATGATGTTTTGCTGTGTGGAAATGATTTTAATTAAAGCGCAAAATGTGTGAACATTTTAATTAAAAGGAAATTGTTTATTGGATGTTCGATCGCAAATTGGTTTGATATAAATAGAATTATTCAGATGTCCAATGAAATTAGAACTTTCGTCCTTAGGGGCCATTCACTTATTACGTAACGCTTTTAGGGGGAGGGGGGTCTAAGATTTTGTTACGATTCAAACAAGGAAATTTTTTTTTCATACACATTTTGTTGCGAGGGGGGGGGGGTCTAAGAAGTCATTTTTTCGCGTTACGTAATAAGTGAACAGCCCCTTAGGATTTTATTGAAGGTTTCGAAATGTCGTTTAATCACTTTCAGAAAAAGAGGTCTGTAGTCAAAAAAATGAGTAAAATGCAGAGTGATTACTTATTCTAAAATTGAGATTCGATCTCAAGACATTTCAAATTGAAAACTTATGAATGATGCGACTTAACCAATGAGCTATCAATTCATATTAATTTCTGAATTATTGTTGAAACTTTTCTCATATAAACTTCAAATCCATAACAAGATATCATTCAACCCAGTTTCAAAAATCAAACAATAAACCACTTAATACTTTATTCAATAATTTCAAATTTTATGTCTTCAAAAAATTTTATTGAACTATTAAATAAATGTTCTGTGACTTCAAATCATTAAGTCCAAGTAATCCTCTAATAAATTATATCAATTAAGTAACTACTGTGAGTCACACGAAGGTAAAAACATTAATTTAAATCACATGTAGAACCTGATTGCCCTTCATTTTCTATTTAAATACATAAAAATAGACTTTTTAAATTAAATTCTATTCTTAGCATTATTCACTTCTATCTCAATTCCATTAAAATCATGACAACATAAGAGTAGATTAAAACTGAAAAAGCAGGTACAATGAGACTTTATCCGATTATTTTAAAATGGAATTGAAATGAATGTAGATATCTACCATAATTTATTATTAAAAAGTAATGAATATTACTAAAAATATACTTACTGAATGGGGAGGAAACATCGACAATAACTCATTGGTGTCAGATGATAGATTTCTGGAAATAGAATTACGAAAAAAGAGAAGGAAAAAAATTAGATAAATGATTTTAATTTCAACAAAAATGCGTCTGGTGGTAAAATTAAAAGCATTTTTGTATTTATTTTTATGGTTTAAGCATAATGAACATTGTGATACAGTGAATTGTTTCTATCTCACTTTATGGTCGTTGTGGTTTTAAGTGCATTCAGTCTTTAAATTGAAAGATTTTGAAAGGAAGAAGATCGAGAAAATTAAACAAAATTCTTGGTAAATAAAAAAGTGAAAGTTATTATGCTGCATTATGTTGTTTTTTAATTAATATGTGGTTTAGGAGAATCTATGAAATAGTTATGATTTTCGAGAATTTCAACCTTTTATTAGAATCTTAATGATTACGTTTTATTATGAGATTTGCTTTGAGTAAACCAAATTAAGCTGAATAAACAGGATTAAGCTGAATTGAGCTGAAAAATCCAAATTGAGCTGAATGTGTCGAATTGAGATGAATAAACCGAATTGAGCTGAATAAGCCAAATTGAGCTGAATTTAGCTAAATAAACAGGATTAAGCTGAATAAGCTGAATCTAGCTCAATAAACTGAACAGCTGAATTGAAATGAGTAAACTGAATTGTGCTGAATAAACGGAATTGAGCTGAATAAGTTAAATTGAGCTGAATAATCCGAATTGAGCTGAATAAACCGAATTTAGCTGAACAAACAAAACAAAGCACAATAAGCTGAATTCAGCTTAATAATAATTTTACAATAATAAGAATCCTTAATCAGAGATGAAAGCGATTCAACATGTTAGAGAGAATCAACGGTAAAAGGAAGCGAGGCACGAGAAATTAAACATAAAGATGAGTAGCACGATAATAATCAAAATCATCATCATCGTCATGGTTCATGCAGTTAAAAAGGGAAAGAAGGCACGAAGAAGAACAGAATTTCTATGATTAAATAGCCTTCATATTACAGACAGATATTAAATGTAAAGTTACACAACAATGGTAACTTCTCGGAAACATTTTTTTGGTCATTACTTCTTGCCTCGTATTTCTTTTTGTACAGTCTCCAACTGATTTATAATATCTCTCTTGATTTCGTTTACCTGATGCCTGCCTGCCTACACATAATGTCTCTACTCAAATGGAACAAAAATATTTTTCTTCTTCTTCATTGTTCTAACCAAAAGGATATATCTGATTTTTGATATTACAGCAAGCACCACATAATGCGTTTAGTAAATGGTGAGTTTATGAAGAAGATATGAGTAAAGGATGTAAAGAAAGAACAGATTAAGGTTTTTTTTGGCATTTTCTTCACTCATGATTGACGTGAGAAGTTTTGATGCCTTTGCTATTTTTGTCTTTCTGCCTTTTTCTCATTGGGACTTTTGCGAGCTCTTAAGACGTCAAAAACAGTGATATGAAAAGTATCATAGAGGAAATTGTGTGTATGTACCACAAAAGATTTGAAAGTCAATTTTCAGTCATCACGTTTAATGTGTGGTGTTGCCAACAATGTCTCATAAATTCTGTATATATATAGTTTATTGCGGTAACAATTTTCGTGTGTAAATCCAACAATGTATGTACTGTATATCAGTCATGAGTTGAGATTCAAGTCTTAAGTGACTCATATACATAAACCAGACGTCTGTCAAACGTGCTATTAAATGAACTCGTCACAATCTCTTATAAGCACGACAACAGAAGGCATTTCTCATATTTTATTATTCGCATATTCAATATTTTTTTGCATGCAGCATACTTGCAAGGCCACTTAAATTATCTGTCTTGACAGTCCCGAGAGACAGTTTTATTATTTTTGACTGGTTTGTCGTTGCTTTTTTGGATCCTTTAGTTTATGTTTGAGAGATTTGTAGGCTCTACTTTTTCATAGCATGAACTGGTCGTTTGAACCTGGTGTTAAATACAATGTGGAGCTCTTGTGAATCACAATGTGGATCGACTTTATTAATGAAGAATTCCGGTGGATTGAACCAAAGTCTAGTTTCTTCGGTATATCCTTGTTGGAGCTCTGCTTTAGTATTCTCGAGACACTACACTAGAAGTGGCTATTCTAGTCACAAGAACCTTTGATCTGTAAGATCAGCACAGTACTAAGTCGACAACCTGTGTTACTTAACCAATTACAACCAATTGCAATACAGTCATAAGCAGTTCGGGCTATTTCGACCAAATAACAAAATACTTAAATTAATTTCTTTTTTTGCATGAAATCCATTCGCTTACAAAACCACAAAGAACAAAAGCAAAACGAACAAAAACTCAAAGACTTATTGAGAATTAAAGTTGAGAAAATTCCACGAATGAGACTGGCTTTTTGTGTCTCATTTATATTTAGCATATTTATTTCAATTAGCAAAAAAATTGAATTACATCATGGAGATGAGATTTGATTAGCAAAATTAGATTCAACGATACATAAATAACCAGATCTAGACGGCGACAAATTTATCCAATTCCAAAGATTCTCACATGTGGAAAAAATTACATGTCTTGCAATAAATTCTAATTAAGAAACTATTTATGAATGGATATGCTTTAATAAGATGATAAATTAGCTTTCGAGTCGAAGAATGTCTCAGTGGAATTGTCATACTTAATTTGCAAGCAATTTTTACTTCCATTATGTTAATTAGAGTATTAAAGCACCTCCTGAGAACAACCGTCGCTTTCTCCCCGCACTTTTTATTCTTTCAACAACAAAAAGTTGCCAATAAACTTCCAAGTAACTTGACTAATTCAATAAACGACTGAGACCTAACAAGTTAATTTCATTTTATGGCTTTATTGCAATTAGCTGCTACCGCCAATATTGTCGCAAAGTGGCGTAGACAATCAGCTACTACAACAATGCATAATGGAGTAAAAAAAAAATATGAGAGACATTGTAGCTGCGAAACCAATTAAGCTATGCAACTGTGGAAATGGATTAATTATGGAACGAATGTAATTCGTTGGCTAGTACGTTCTCTTGTGGTCGAGACGGGAATTGGTTTTAAATGCTTTTTTGTGCATAGGGATTTTTTTATGAATGGAAGGATGAAGGTGCTTGAGGCATTTTGGGTGATTGGGGATTTAAAAGTGCTTTGTGTCTACTTAAAATGATTCTTTATTTTGTTGCTGATTGTTTTTTTTTTTGTCAAAAGGACAGAAATGGAAAGGTGTTGAAACCTGTTGTAATGGTTAAGGAGACCTAAATTGATAGACTTCATAAGTGAATGACTCCTGCAACCATCTTCTTAAAATGCGCTTTATACCTTCCTCTCCAACTTATTCCAACCTTTCGATCCAATGACAAGAATGTAAATGAAGTGTAAAATACACAAGAATAAGATGAAGCATTAAATGGAACAATTGTTACATTCGTTATGTAATTTGCCATGACAATCGTTTCTCTTTATACATTGCATTTGACCTGGTCACAGTAAAGGCACTTAGCGTAGAACGACTATTTATAAACACGGAGGAAATGCATCATGTGAGAATAATTAAAAGAACCGAGAACAAGAAGAAGTAGAAGTAATTCATGTATATGCGGCTTTTGCGGTGATCTTTAGTAAGGAAAACAATGGAAGCAAATGGAGTGTATGTTATTATGAATGTGTGGGAATTGAGAAACCTGACAGAACGGAATTGTGGTAAATCAATTGGAAACACACTTGGAAGTGCATTAATTAAATCTAGCACTACATCTCTCAATGATGACAATGAAATTTATAATACATTTTTTTTTTATCATGCTGATGCTGATATCAGTCGAGGTGAAATCAATTGGGATATAAATACGCAGCAAAGTGTTAAAAAAATTTCAATTTGTGACTAAAAATGAGACTCACAATTTCCGTGCTTTATTCAGTCGTATTAATTAATATTAATATGATTTTTGCTCAGCAGGTATGTCTGCGAATTTTAAATATTTATTTGTGTTGTGGATTATTGGTCGGATTATAACTAAAGTGCACTGCTGTGAAATTGACAAGCGGCTCGCTTTTGTTTGATTTATTGGATGTTGTAATGATATTTTGGGGGTATTTGATGGAAGTTTGATGTGATAACTTGATAACTGTGCGTGCGAATTTTCGCAGAATTTAAAAAGCGGTTAGCTTTATTGAGTGCTGATGTTAACACTAGTAAAAATATGGTAGCATGGCAAAAAAGCTGTCAAAACTAATTGCGTTGTGAGGTTAAATTGTGTTTTAAAAGCTGAAAATCTAAAAAGCTATTAGTTTAATGGACTATGTGAATTATAATGTGCATATGTGGCTAATGTTCATGTAATATGTCGAAGTAGTGTATGATCTGTGGTATCAATCCATATGTAAGCGAATCTGTCAGTGGTAGAGTAAGGATTCTGTGTATTTCGAGTGGTTAAGAAACAGTTTTGGAGTCTAAGATTCTGTTATTAATGAAACTTGGGTTTAAATCCTATTACATGCCGATATTCAAATGAATACTTAGAATCGCCGTTGTGGTTAAAGTGCGAATGATGCAAAAACTATTGGGTTCGATTCCTTGAATTCGAAAAAAAACGTTGTAAATGAACATTCTTCTTGAATTCTTAGCACATGCTATTTTTTGATACCGATCCCTAAATCAAAAATTTCAATTAAATCCAGAACTTCATCCACAACTTAATTTATCTTATTAACAATATCCCTTTCTTCCAACAGCAAAGTGTCATGCTGAATGGAGCAAAAGTTGTTGAATGTGCTCAAAAACTAAATTTAGGAACTGATATGGAAAAGCTAAAACAAGTGTTTTCAGATCCGAATCATCCGAATGAAATTTGTGCTCGATTGTGCATTTATCAAGGGATGGAGCTAGTGGATGATAATTTTGAAATTGTTGTGAGTATTTCTGGTGTAATGATCCTTAAAATCCATAAACTTATTAAAAACATCTCCCCAGAAACAAAAATTCGCAATGCTTTTAAAGCAATCTGGACATACAGTTGATGAGCCGATATTCCAAGACTGTCTAGCTTCAACAGAAGCATTAAAAAACAAAATTTGCGAATATGCGACTAGTCGTGTCCATTGTTTCATCACCAAGCCACAAATTAAATTTTAAAGCTTTCACTTTTCAATATTTTTTTTAAAATTTTTATCACAAATTGTCGCACGACGAGAAAAATGTGAATTATTCAATCACTTCACAATTGAGCAAAAAAAAAAGAAATGTCATGTCATAGTAAGTGCACCATATAGAGATATTCACATGAGTATGTATAATGTTATTCCTCTGTGCCTCGCTTTTTTTTTCTCTCCACAAAGAAAGAAGAAGAAAATTCTGTTTTTGGCAAAAAAAGGCAACCAAATTGAAATAAAAAGTGCATCAGTGTTCAAGTTACGACAATAAAAATAAAATTATTATGCAATCTCACCATAATTACATGGCTGTTGATTTTTCTTTATTTTATGTTTTTGTTTTCTTTCTGACAAGAAGCTTCGTAAGTGCAATTTTACATTTCATTTCTATTTAATTTTTGATGACTACTTAAAAATTTAATTTGAAGAAGATTAAATTTGCACATGCAGAGGTTAGGTTAGGGCGTAGGGGCTTCAAATCAAATGAGCAAAAAATATAGAGTCGGTTAATTTTACATTTTGAATTTCGAACGTCTGTTAAAAAATTGAATCTAGAAAGTTCATTATTTTTGAAAAGTTTGAATTCAAAAAGTTTATTCAAAATTTAAATTTCCGTTAAAACATAATTTGAATCAAAAACGTCAGTTATTTTTCAGCAAGAACAAAAACTATGAAGCACCAGTTTCTAGCCTCACTTCATTTTCTGCTCCCATAAATCTGATTAAAACACAAGATGAAATACCAGAAAACCTCTAACCTGAAGTAGTTGACATACAAAAATGTAACAACCTGCAACTTGCATTAAAAATTAAAAAGGAATGAAAAAGCACTTGAAGCGCATCACCGACACTTCATGTGCATTTTTCAAATTGTGAGAAAAGGCATGATAATGATGTTACCATTTTAATATTACATGTATTCATGAAATTGTTGAGAATGAGAATTGTGTAAGATGCACATTACAGTTGAGAATGAGAGGTATAAGTTGAGAAAATTGCAGATTCAGCAGCACATGATATGTTGTGTAAAGATTCATTCCCCGTAAGCGAAAATTTACTCATTTTGATCCTTTAGCATGAAAACATATTAACGAAAATGTAAGTGTTACGTGACGATGTACAATTTTACCTTGTGTATTACTTAACATCTACATTCCTCCTTATTCTTATTCTTATAGCATGTTTAAGGTATTTAATGTCTTCTTGCTTATTTTCCTTCATCTTTTTTTCGCCTTCAATTCTTCATTTTTTGCTTGTTCAAAACAGATTCAATGAATTCTTTATATCTATTTGAAATATATGCACTTCCGAACCAAAAGTCATGTATGAATTTTATTTTTGCAATATAAAGAAATATTGCAATTTATCTTTTACTTTTATAAGAAGCACGTTCTTTATGCTGCCAAAAGAGGATTGAAGAGCTTTTGAGAATTATTTCAAGCTCATTTTTTATTACTTTATCTAAAGTCGATATGTTGTGGAAGTGTGTCATGTGTCAATGTACGCTGTTTATTGGAAGATATTTTTAAGATTTTGATAAATATAGTTCAACTGAAATAGTGCTGAATAATCTATGAACTTAGATGAATATGAATGAAATTGAGCTGAATTGAGCTGAACAAGTGCTACATTGTGATCTTAAAGAGCTGAATTAGCTGAATAAGTGCTGAATTAGGTGAATAAGTATGAATTGAGCTGAAAAAACGCTGAACATTCACTTAATTATGCTGTTTTAAATTAAATTGAGCTAAAGAAGTGCTGAATTGAGCTGAACAAACACTGAATTGATCTGTGAAAGCTCTAACGTATAAATTTAACAAGACAAGCACAAACTGACTCAAATATCTTCCAATTCAATCTGATTTGATCCAAGTAATGCAAAATTGCAGTAAATTCTGTCCAATTCAATCTGATTTGATCCAAGTAATGCAAAATTGCAGTAAATTCTGTCCAAATAAGCAAAGCAGCTCTAAATAATTCCTAATGAGCGTTGCATTCTTTTGACTGCTGCTGAAATGCACAGAATAGTAATTTCTAGAAAGCAAGCACTATTCAACTCACATAAAACATCCACTCAGATTTGCTTCGAGGCAAAACAATTTAGAAAGGAAATCACTTTGAAGTTCAAAGAGGAGAAAAGAGAACTTAAATCAGAAGAATTTGATGTGCATATAAAGGATTAAAAGAGAAAATGAATTCAAGAGTTGCACTTGATGTTCTATTGAGATATAAGAATATGTCCTCAAGGCACAAAGTTATGAGTTCGAAATGATTGAGGTATTGTGAGCAATTCCAACAGAGGATTTCATTAAATTTATGAAAAAAATACTTTTTTTGTATTTCTGACATTTTTGGATGAGATTCGTGTGTGTAGGCTTAAAAATCTCAAACTGTAAAGTTCAACATCAATCAATTTTGGCATCACGAACAAACAATAGGCCAAAATTAGGAATCTCAAACTACATATCGAGAGTTATGAAATGATTGATTACAACCTGATGTAGCTGATTAAGTGTAGCTTCTCGGAAGTATCTTCATTTACTTGCCATGCATACCGACATAATTTGATCTCTTATTGTCAAAAAATACATTCCAAAACTCGTGAATTATAAATCGAGAGAAAATTTTTTATGTCAATTTTTTTGCGCATCATTTACTTTTTGTTATACAGAACAGCCATAGACATACACAAAGAATGAGATAGAGTTGAAGAAGACAGATATTTTGCTTTTTCTTCTATTAAGATATCGAATTTCAGTATCATTTTACTTCAAGATGTTTTGAGTGTCTTTCTTCCATTTCTACTTTCGACATTTCGTCGACGATTTTGAGATTGTTGAAGGAAGGAAGCAGCTGTAGCAATGAATAATTTTTATTTTCGCTCATATTGAATTTATAAATGGATTCTTACTGTTCGTTTGAAGCTAGTCAGGAATCAATGAGGTGCTGAAAAGTTTGAGCTTTAAGCAGAAATTATGGGTTTTAAGTATTCTGCCGTTTAAGCACGTGCTGGTGGTTAGATGTAACTTAGAATTTAAAATTAGATGTTAATGGGTTCAATGGCTAGGATTTTCAATCTATAAGTTGAAATTTCTCATCAGGTTCTAAAGATATTAAAGTCATGAACATCAAGCTATCCAAATCTACAGTTTTCAGTTCTCAGACAATCCCCAACCCCAATTAGAACATTTAAAATAGCTTAAAGAAATTTCAGCTCCCAGCGAAAACCATCAATAGCAATTTCACAACCAGCATGTCGATCCACAGCCCACACAGATGAAATTTTAGGGTCAAGGATAACCGCATGAGTGCGTTTGGATGGAAGCAACATAAATATTTATTTCTACTATCCAAAAAAAAAGTAAAGAAAAATAATAAAAATTCATTGAAATCAAAATAGACAATGGCGAGATAGAGGATGAAAAAAAGGAAAAATCAATAAAAATTCACGAGTTTTAGAAAATATAACGTTTTGTTACTATTACAGCTAAATTCATATAAAATCGGAGATAAAAAGGCATGATGTAATGCTTCATACAACACACTGATACCCTCAAGGGCCATAAACTCCAACGTAGTCGAACGGAGAGAAACGAAAACTACGATTATTTTTTAATCAATAAGCGATTGTAAATGGTTTTATGATGAATGAAAGGTCGGCATCGAGCATTCGAACAATAAACATAAAACAACATTGGATTTGAAACAAAGAATAAAATGCTATTAGCACATGACAGAGACTAATGAAAGTTTTTTTTGGTGGTTTTAATAATTTATTGCCGTGAAACTTTATGGATTTGAACGATAAGGGTTTGAATTTTTTAATTAACGGTTATTTGAATTTTGAATTTTTCAAAAATGCTCAATTTGGAATTTTTCAATAATGCTCAATTTTGAATTTTTGAAAATCATATAAAAATTTTTGAATTTCGTTCAAATTCAGTTCCATTGAACAAATCAGTTGCCGTTCTAATCTCAACTTAAGAATCCCCAATCAATCTTTCATTTCACATCTGAATTGTTTGAAATCTCTGCTCAATATCCAACTGATTCAAATATAATCCTGATTTCTTAGAATTTTTCTCCAATTCCCTTTCAACTTTCTTCTTGCCTCGTTTTACAACTTCAAATTTCTTTCTTTATTTCCTTCTAGAAATATTCTCATAAATATTTATATGCTTTTAATTTGATTGTTTATGAGATTCGAATGAGATTGTGTGAGCATGAATTATACACAAAAAAATAAACATTCTTTCCTCCTTTTCTTTCTATTCTTTTTATGTTAGTGTTTCTTTGGAAGCAGCTTTACAAACATTCAATGGCGATGTCAGATATGAATTGAGAAAGCAAATTGAATATTTGTGCTGTAAACAGGAAAAAATTATTTTTCATTTTATTTTCCGCATTCAATTCTTATATCTGTCTAAACATATCGCTTCATATTTTCTTTTCTAAACGATTGAATTCCATACTTTGTTGGAATTGATTTTAAGGAGGAAGAGATTCATTTTATATTGGCTCCGATGAAATGGTAAATATGAAAATTTATTGGCTATTAATGTTTATTTGAGATTTAAATGCATTTTAGCTATTAATCTTGAGGAGACGATTGAACTTCCGGGAAATGATTGTCAAGGACAAGTGTGGTGCTTTAAATCAAGGTTTATTGAAGTATCTTTCGTTCAAGGCTGGAAAATGACGATTCACGGAAAATTGGTGCTGCTTTATGTATTTTACGTTGGCAGCGACATAACAAGGGTGTAAAGATGATGTTCACAATGTTTTATTCAGTGTAAATAATTAATATTTGTTTATATTGTCAAGAACGATTCAAAATGATGTTTATCCATTAGGGGTCGTTCACTTATTACGTTTGCATTATAGGGGGAGGGGAGGTTTGAAAAATTGTAACAAAATGTAACATGGGGGGGGGGGGGGGGTGTCAAGAAGGAGATGTAACGTTCAAACTGTCGTCTGTCTTTTAAAAAAGAATTCACGAAAAAAATTTGTTTACAAATTCACACCGAAAACATTTTTTAAATTTTCCACCTTTTTAATGATTTATGAATGTCCAGATCACTTTTGATAGCTAAGCAATACATAGTTTTTGTTATATAAAGTAACAAATCAATAGAAAACTGGTTTACAAGACTTTAAAATACAATCATAATTTGTGGAAATTTTCAAAATTAAATCAATCATAAGTTTAAAAGTAAATCTCTCTAAATCTGTCATTCATATGATGATTAATATGATCCCATCATTGTGATTTTCATTCAAAGTTGATCGAATTTTCCAAAATTTGATCGGGCAAACATTTTTGCTTTATATCTCAATCCAATAATTCATGAAAATACTAATAGTATCAATCAAAACATGACCTATTTAGCCGTACAGTATTTTGATGTTTAAGAAAAAAAAAATACAAAAGAAATTTAACTGTCTTTTTAGAATAAAAAATTATCAAAATAAAATAAATTATGAACGTTCAGGGGGGGGGGGGGATGAGTTGTAACATATTGTAACAAGGGGGGAGGGGGGAGGGGGGGGGGGGGGTTGAAAAAAGTTTTTTTGCGTAACGTAATAAGTGAACGGCCCCTTAGAATCGTAAAGAATTCTAAGAAAGGGGAGAAACAACCACCCCAACTGATTTCAGATTCTCAGATAATTCAAATATAAATTAACTGTTACATTATATCAACAATCTGGTTTCATAATAGCGAACTAAACCCAACAAGAACTACTTATCATTATTTAAAAAAAATAATAACATGTTGTTTAAATAAACAACAAATTCAACTCCAGATGGCACTTCAGACAGTTGTTATCAATTCATGATGGTTGAAGCCAGACTACAGATGGTGTTTTGTTCAAATATCTTTATCTATTCCCTCAAAATGAACAAAAACATTAGTTTTTGAAGCCTTATATATTTCCGTATCTCAAATGAGATGACATATGACTATAGGCAATGCATGTTAAGCAGGTCAACATAACAAAAAGATTCCAATTGGAAGATACTAGGACATATGCATTACAGAAGAATTTCAAATGCTTTAGCTGTGAAATGTCATTAGGTTAGTGTTTACTGTGCTGTTCATGAAAAAATTGAGGTCGAAGAATGCAAGGTAATTGAGGTAGAACAAGATCCAGTGAGAGAAAATCTCAAAATGTTGTAATTTTACTCTCAGCCATCAAAATCTCGTCAACAAACTGGTTGATAAACATCCTTCAAAATAGACGATTAATTCCACGACTAGCCATCAACGCCATTGTTCGATCAATTAATAAATACTTAATAAATGCCCATAAAAAGATGAAGGAATAATAATTGATATATTTTTAATTGAGCTATAGACTTTTAAAGCACTAGTCTTAATTAATTTATTATAGATGATAAAAAAAATTGGAATTCAAAAAGCGTTTAAATCGTTATTACAAATTTAATTAATGTTTGTGTCGAGAATGAATTGAAAATCAATTCTATGGAAACTTATTTTGAAAATTCATGTCACAGAAAACTGACAAAAACAAGCATCAACAGCCTGCATGTACATGCCTACCAACAATCTGTGTGATTCTTTACATGAGTAGATGTATAATGCGATCAAATTTGAACAAGCTATATGGAATGTCATGTGCATCATATGAACATAATATGTTGCATTTATGTTTGCTGTACGAATTTTATGATCATTGTTTCGAATCACTTTTGTGGAAGTTGATAGATGCTGGGGGTCCTCGGTTTTTAATTTGTTTTTGTGAAAATTTCGGTTACAAAAATGTTTGAAAATTTCAAACAAATTACTTTGAAAATTTCTGTTGAGAATAAAGTTTGAAAATTTCGTTCATAAAATAAATTATTTAAATCAAAGACCCCCTTTAGGCTGCTTTAAAAGCATCCATACATACTATTTTTGTGCATTTTCATCCTAAAACAGTTAAAATATTGATTTTTTTTCGCTCCCACATTTCATTAAAACACAAATGCATGAGCTGAATGTACCCAACATTAGAACTTTTTTCCTGAACATACTCTTGATAAATGCTATAAATTCAAGAAAGTAATGTTGAGTGCACTTCTGTGACTTTGAATAGTAAAATGTGTTTTAAGTTTTCAGATCAAAAAAAAAAATTTTCTCTTTCGAAACTGGAAGTACTTTAGTACCGCATAAGGAAAGGGAAACTTTTTCCTGTAGGAAGGCAAAATATGAAAGGAAATTGAAAAAAAAGGATCAAAGTGTGGAGCAGTAAAAAGTTATAAAATAAATGACGCCTGGGAAGGGCAAAAAAGAGAAAGATGAAAGATGAAATCATTCAAAGTTTTTCAGCCACTTGAATCGGATGGAAAATTGAATGAGATATGGAGAACCTGATATTTCTATCATCAGTCTTTGTAGCAGGCTTTTAGAGGAGTCACGAGTGTTGATGCTCATTTTTGGGGAATTTGGATGCTGACTTGAACTTGTTCTGACCAGATTTGATTATTTGAGAACTGATTTAATTAATTAAGGTCAGGAGCATCCTGCTGGATTTCAATATACTGAGGGACCTCGATTTGAGGAGGTGTTTTGTTCCAGAAAAATCCTATTCAAATCGAATCTACTCAAATCGAGGACCCATAGTATTAACAAAATGCTCTCACTAATCAACCTTCTATACCTGCATATCCTACTTATAATTCTTATCTTTCTATAAAACTCAGTCATAGAAAGGCTCCTTTTGTTGATGTCAAAATGTTAATAAAAAAATTTTTTTTGTTCCTTATTCCTAACATCATGAATGAAAAACAGAGAATGAAGAAAATCATCTGACAAGAAAATTTAATTTTGTGATGGAAGGAAAGCGTCAGATTGACTTCTTTTCTTTGTACTTTTTAAAATTAATCTACTTTTTCTTTTCTTCATGAGTTTATGATATGAGAATTAAAGTTAAATTTTTCAAGAAAATGAGATTGAAAAAAATGAGGAAAGGTATAATAGAGACAGGCAGTAATATCTGATATGTGCTGAGAGAAGGGTTTGATGATAGATATTGAGTATGATGAACTAAGAAGAAGGATTTGATTGATTGTAATAGATACAAATGCGTTAGGGTTTGAAGCATTAGCTTCATGATATCATGATATCATATATGATAACAATGCTGCTGCTGCTGCTTATTCTTGAGTTTACTTTATAATTTCAAATTTTTTGAAAATCTCATAAAATTCAAAATATTGAAAACCGTTAAAAATTCAAATTCTTTAAAATCTGTTAAAAATTCAAATTTTAGAAAACCGTTGCAAACTTCTTTACTAACCGTTAATCTCCAAACAGCTTATATTTTAAAAATAAAGCAGTTCCCATACGAATTTGACATTAACCAAGTCATCTCACTTCATCATTAAGTCACTTAAAAAGTCAACATAAGTAGCATAAAACATTCACACTTTTCTCTAAGAAAATATTTGACGACAGCCTTAGAATGATATTTATACACATTTACATAAGTCTACATATTATTTAATACAGAAAAAGAACATCTCAAGAGACTAGACATTTCTTAAATATCACTTCCATCTTAATATTTTTTTTCTCTCACTTCTCTTACTCAAAAGTAGCATCCATTAAACTTTTCACATCTAAATGTCACGTCACTCCTCATTTTTGCATATAAGAGAAAGGATTATTTATATTTAGAATTTTATTTTACTCGAGAGTTCTGCATGCATACATAAATATTATTTGATTTTTTTCCCCTCATGCTTGCGTGTTCATTCTACGTCTGTAAACATAAATAGCATCAAGTCAGATGGAATAGACTTTTTACATTTAGAGTCAATAATTAACGAGGCAAATGTGAAAATTATTGTGACAATGTGGATGTACTTTTCTCGTGTCAATTATCAATATATCACACAGAGTGGATATTGTCTGAATTATTTTGACATCACATGCTTGCTACTCTCTCTCGACTGAATGAACGACTGATGTAAATAATTTGTGAATTTTTTATGACTCATGACGTTGATGTAAAATGTTTACGTGCTCAAGCTACTGTAAAGGTAAATTAAGTTCTGACAGAGGGATATGCTCATAAGTTCATAGTCAGTTTGAGTTTCGAACCACAGATTCTGAAAACTATAGAATTTTTGACTTCTGGTTAAAGATCTTGACCACAGAGTCAATTAGCTGCATGTGGATCTTTGGACATTCTTTCAATATATGCATCTTGGTATAGCTTTATGGATCTATAGCTTCACGCAAGTCTCAAGGATCAGAATCATAACTTTAGCTCACCAAGCTCCAAATCACATCCCTTCACAGGTTAGCATCCAAAAAAATCAAAGGAATAAGCCATAAATTTCTCAACAAATCAAAATTGTCCCTTCCAATTTTATTTCCATCAACTTTCATCCCATTCAGGAATTATATCTTAATAAAAAATTCATAAAGCTGTCTGCAATGTTTAGAGACGTGAATTTAAAATGTTTTGCACATTGTTGCTGCTCATCACGAGGACACATCATCATCATCGTCATCAGCAACATCCTGAATGTTGATTGGATCATCATCAATACTCAATGTTTCATGTTCATCCATTTTCTCGTAAAAGCTCTCAACGTTGAGCTTTTTATCCAAAACAATTTTGCCGTTCCTTAAAGCAGTTGCTTTTTCGAGAGCAATTAAATCAATACTATTAAAGTCTTCGTAGGAACTTATTATAGGTGGTGATAATGCTGCCCAAACATTAAGTTTCTCATCCATTTCATCTGTTGATGCTTCACGGCTAATTTCACTTGCTTGCACTAAAACACATCGAGATTGGGTTCTTGTTATATTTTCAGGTCTTGATCTGCATAGCTTTTTGCAATCGTCACAACGTGAAACAATTTGGAACTGTGACATTTTTGTGGACTTGAATTTTGAATGAAAAAGGAAAGCGTTTTGTGAACTTTCTTTTTATTCCAAGGTCGACGGAGACTTATTCTTGTGAAAAATCGAGAAACACGTTTTTTGGTAGAATTATAGGAAAAAGTTTGCTTTGATGTGAGTTGTGAAAATATTTGGGGCAGTTTTAAAAACTTTCTGTATGTTTTTTGCTTGTTACAGCTTATTATTCTTAGCACAAAAATGAAATAAAATTTGATTTTTTATAACGATCATTAAAACTTTAAATTTTTGGTTCAAATGCAGACAACTTCAAGTCATTCAGAATTTTGTTTACATTTGAATACCCTATTTTTTTTCGTTGTAAGCTAGTAGCTTAGAAAAATAAAAAAGTGATTTTTTGGGCTCACTAGTAGCTTAGTAACGAGTACTAGAAGTATCGAAAAGGGGCCGTTCACTTATTACGTTACGCAAAAAAACGACTTTTTTTCACCACCCCCCCCCTCCTCCCTTTGTTACAATATGTTACAACTCACACCCCCCCCCTCCCCCTCTAAACGTTCATAATTTATTTTATCATTAAAAAGGAAAATTTAAAAAAATATTTTTGGTGTGAATTTGTAAACAAATATTTTTCGTGAACCTTTTTTTAAAAGACAGACGACAGTTAAAACGTTACATACTTCTTGACCCCCCCTCCCCCCTATTTTACATTTTGTTACAATTTTTCAAACCCCTCCTCCTTCCTAAAATGCGAACGTAATAAGTGAATGGCCCCAAACAGATAACCTTAAAATCCAGTCAACAACACACTTTAAAAATCGATATTTCCATCCAATAACAAATTTTTATATCCTCATCTTTAAGAGCAATCTTAAAGTATATTTTTGGAGTGTCGCCAGCTCCTCTTCGTTCTTTTAATGTAAAAAAATTGTCAATAGGGATGAGAGCAAAATAAATATTGCATTAGTGAGGATGCTTAGGTGGAATTTGAACAGGAAAGATAGAAATTTATATTTTTCGCTAAAGTTCAGAATTATTTTTTGTGCCTTTTTTTATCTTCTTAACTTTTCTTTGCCCACATTAGTAGTAAGATTGTCTGGATTTTTTGTTTTATTATAATCCATAAAGTTATATTACGTCAATTTTCATCTTAAATGCTGTTTATAAAGAACATCCTTACAGGCATTGCCCCAATGTCATTAAGGATACAATAATGAAAGAAACTGAATGCGGATGTATAAATTATGAAACCTTGAAAAAAAATTTCATTTTCGCCTTGTGTCTTATTGCTACAGTGAATGGTGAATGATAGTGGCAAGGAAAAAGTTTTTCTTCATTTTGAGGGCACTAAAGATGTTTATAGGAGGTGAAGAAGAGGAAAAGGAAAGAAGACAGAAAGCGAAAGATAGAAAAACCCATTTCAATGTCGATGAAAATTTACTAAGCAGCCCTTCATTCACGGTCGCCTCATCCTACAGCAATAACAGTCGCATCCTTCACCATCGCTACCAAGGAAAGCCGTTTTTACTACGTTACTACAGATTCCATCCTTTTTTGAAATTTCTAAAGCCCATCCACCACCCGACATTTCGACATTTCGCACACACAATTCGTTTTATTGTGTGAACGAAATTCACCGTAAATAAGCTTTTTTGAAGCCTATTTTACTGTCATGACGAATGCAACACAACACAAACATCCTCATCAATTTTTCAAAAACGGAAGTTCTGTTTATCCACAGTCGTAGTGATGGCAAAAAAAAAAATAAAATGCGAATGAGAAATAAATAATGGCAATAATAAAATGGGAAACATGGTGATGAATAGTTGAGGATTTGCTTAGCAACGTTAAATTTTTAATGGCGATAATTTTCTGGCATTGTTCTTGTTGTGTAAAAAGGCATTTTTTCAATTAACAAGCAAAAGGAAGTGATGGGATTTTTCAATTTGAATTATTATTTTAAATTATAGCTTTTGTGGTGGAAAATGATATGTTTTGATAAAGTTTGAGAACAGGGCTTCTCTTTTAGGGCCTTGTCAGCTGAGACCATGCAATTTAAGTATACCAAGGGTATGCTCGATAAGGAATGAGATGCAGTTCCTCACTGTTTATTGCTTCAATTTAAATTTCTCAAAGCTTTGAGGATAGTCTATGTTTATACCTTCCTCATATTCCTATTGTCGCTGATATGAGCTCAATTTCATTTGCAAAAACTAAAATAAAATTTATGACTTGTGTACATGGAACTAGCAGCTTGATATTTATGCCATAAATTTCATTCTGTCGTGAGAATTTTTTTTCTCACACCTTCAAGTCCTTCTTAAATTTGCTTATGCTTTACTACCTGTTTGCCTATGGCTCATAAACAAATAAATCTGTCGGTGTGTCTAACGTGCCTGATAATAATAACAATAATAGTAAAAAATTTTGCATAAATTTCACACACAGAAATTATAAATTTAAATACGTATGGAAAGTAATTGTAGAGAAAGAAGAAAAAAGTTACACAAAAACCTATCGCTAACTATGCTTCATTCAAAACAGACCTGAACGATGTGTGAATTGCCCATTTAAAGACTTTAAATTTACCTGCGTGATGTGAAATTGGCAGGCAAGAAACAAATTATGGAAAGAGGCAGTCTATTTGAATCGGAAATGGAAACATGAAGCAAATATTTGAAATGTTGAGAAGCATAATGGAAATAAGGTATAACTTCCTCAAGTACATACTTTTTTCTCCATAGCTCAGTGATTCAATCGGAAATTTACAATATTTTTTATTTATTTTAATTTCTGCATGAAGAGCACAAAATGAACGGGAAATTAATTGGCGAAAAAAAGTTCTCTTTATGCTCATTTTAGCACATTATTAATGCTTTATAAATATGTGTGTGTCGTTAAATCAGTATTAAGTTTTGTTGATTGTTACAGAACTTTAATGAGCTGGTTTTAAGAGGCGTGAAATGGGAAAATTCTACTGGAATTTTAATCAATTATCAACATTCATGAGTTGGTTGCTGGACATACAATAAATTGGATGTCTTAGGCTGCTTACTAGGTTCTATAATATTCTATAGAGACTTTAGTCTGGCGTGACCCTAGTTTAGTCTTACTCTTACCCTAATCAAATATCCGTGTCTTTCTGAGATTATCCTAGAGTTAGGTTAGGAGCAAGAAGGCGCTTAGTATTATTTGTCACTTAGTCAGCACCTCTGACTCGACTCCTATTCACATAAACTCAATTTTTCATGCTTTTTAAAAATGCATTGCTTGAAAATTCAGTCGTTAACAAATTTTATTATCCTCGCATGTAAATCTTTTTTCTTTTTTTTAATTTTCTACTTAAATGTTCCAGAAAGCTTCATTTCCATCCAGCGTATGCCGTAAAATGTCAAACGTAGTTTTCAATTCAATTAAATTTTTTAAACAAACTTCCAATTATTTTTCTTTTATCCTTTCCGGCTCTTTTGATTCAATTACAAAAGGTTGACTTTTCTTTCGATACTTTTCATGATTGCTGTATAGCTTTCCACAATTTCATAAAATTTTAATTAGGTGGGTATGCAAAAAAAATGAAATAAAAAGTTCTTTTTTTGGAAACAAAGAAAATTTTCCTTGAGATATTTTTGTGTGGGCTCGGAAGAGAAATTTTTTGATATTGGGAAAAGATTTTTTTTTTTGGAAATGAAAGAGTAAGAAGTGGGAGTTGATTAATTTTTGATTAAGTTTGAATAATTTAAAAACATAAATTTGAGTTTATGATTTTAACGGTTTTTTGATTTTAAAATGTGAATTCAACTTCATGTGATTGAAGAATATTTGAAATTAAACGGTAACTGTAAATTTTGCTTAAAAACGAAAGATAACTTTAAGTTATTACATAAATGTGGTGTCAATTTCATGATTATTTGAATTTATTTTGACTATTTAAAATTTCGGTTTTTAAATTCATTTTTTTGAATTTTTAATTGAAATTTTTGATTTCTAAAGCAAGTTAAAATGGATTAGATTAAAATTTATTAAAACTTTTTCAAAATTTACACTTTTCTACTTCAAACTTTCTGAATATCAAAGAAAAGTTAATTAAAGTTTATTGTTAAATTTTTGCTATCAATAATCTTCTCAATAGTGAACTTTATTTCAAATTATAAAAGCAACCACAATGAGACAGCTAGCACCATTACCCTTTGTTCAGATAAACTTCGATAGAAAAAGTTGTTACATTTTTTGGACACACAAAAGACCTTAATTTGCTTGAGAAATTTTTTCAACAGTTCAACTTAAAAAGAATAAATATTAATTAAAACTTTTTTAAACATTTTTCTATGATGTAAAAAATATTTATTTAAAAGACTAAACAAGTGAAAAATTTAGTTCACTGATTTCTACCTCATAATAAATCATATAATATATTATTAACTATGAAAATCGAGTTTATTGACTTTATTGAACAATAATTTTTCATTAATCCAAATTTCTGCGCTGCGTGAAGTTTGCATTTCTTTAGTAAGTTGCTCTGGGTCACGAATTTCTTTGTGTTTAATTAAAAAATAATTAAAAAATAATTAAAAATCATGTGATTAAGTTCTCAAGCAATTAAGCTATATGGAATTTGTCAAATTGAGGTTTTTAATAAATTTCTAGAAAATTTAATGCGATATCCACAAATGAAAGATTCTCTTATAAAGCTATAAATTGTGAGATTTTCTACATCATTAGGAGAAATTGATTCGATCATGGAGTGTGAAGAGTCTGTATATAAATTTAATCGTGTTTCTCATGTGGATATACTTAAGCGCTCTTACAGAATTTTAATTTTCTATTTTTAACATCCAAACTTTCCCTTATATCATGTCTGCTTCCCTCTCATGAGATTCTACTAATTTTAGGATAATTTAATTTAAACATATGAAAACTTTTCTCATTTAATTGTACTTATCTTCATTATTCACATCTTGCATATCATCATGAAATTAAAATATATAATCCAAGTGAAAAATTTCAAATAAAACACTCAAACTGAAACATAGAAACAATTTTTAATGTGTTAAGATTTTGTGTATGATAACATAAAACTTTTTTTTTCTTTCCCTTCTTTCTCTCATGTTGATAAATTATCAAGTTCA